ATGGCAGGATAAGTCGCTTGCAGGCTCTGCGAGACTCATGCATAGGTTCACGAAGGTTCAGAGAAAGTGGCAGCCCACTATCGTTGAGCGCTCCCCAGGGATCTTCACATCGGACCCCCGGAGCCTTTTGGCCTCCGAGACCATCAAGCTAGGCGAGTTCTGGAATGCCAGTATGTCTCCGCCGTCGGCCTGGATACCGAATCGAGATTGTTTCCCACGCGCGAGCCCGTCGGAGATACGAGCAGCATCGCGCTCTTTTAGCCGCTACACTTCGCAGTCGCTCGACGGCTACCACCCCAGGCACTTCGCATGCTTGAGCGACCTAGGGCTGGAGGTCCTGGCGATGCTCTATGAGGCGATCGAGCGCCTTGGCCTGTTCCCAGCGCAGCTGTTGTGGATGCTGATGCCCATCTTGGAGAAGCCTAAGGGAGGACTACGCCCCATTCTCCTCTTGGGATCCCCAGTTCGCGTCTGGGAACGTTTGCGCCGTTGTCAGTGTGATGAATTCCTGGAGCGGGCCCATCGGCCCTACTGGTCTTTCGGGCCTGGACAAAACTCGGAGGCGGCCATCTGGAACCAGAGTGTCTTATCGGAGCAGGCTTCTTCAAGTGGCAAGGTAACGGCAGGTTTTATCTGGGATGGAATGAAGTACTATGAATCCTTTACTTTGGTCTGGCTCCGAGACAGGGCCATCTTCTGGAGGATCCCCATGGTGCTCATCAAGACCCTATACAACCTTTGGAGATCCCCGAGGATCCTGAGGCTGGGGGCTAACCACTCACCCCTGGTCCTATTTGCAGAGTCTGGGCTTCCTGCTGGGGATATGTTCAACGATGTGTTTGTCAAGGTTTACGCGATGTTTGAATTTGACATGTGGTCCCAACGGCACCCTGAGGTCTCCCTTGGGTCCTACGTCGACGATGACACTGTGGCGGCATACGGCGACGAAGATGCGATTGTAGCCAACTTCGTTCGAGCAGGGATTGACCTCAAGGATGTCTTTGATCACAGGCTGAACGTCCGCTTGGCTGAGGACAAGGCCGTCACTTTCGCCTCTTCTCAGCGACTGGCATACCGCCTATGCCGTCGCCTCCGTGCTGTCTGCCCATCGGCTGCGACCAGCGCGGCCGTCTCGCTGGGCACGGACTTGGCACCAGGCCAACGGCGAACTTGCAAAAGAGGCATGGACAAGAGGAAGGAGCGTTTCAGGATGATGAGGAAGAGACATAAACTGATCTCTCACTATCGTCGTAAACTTCCTCGGGACAAATCCAGAATGCAGAAGATTTATACTGCTGGAGTGCGCCCTGCCGCTGGCTATGGCGCCATGGTTCTAGGCATGTCGGACACCGAGCTTCAGTCTCTACAGCGAGTCTTGCTAGCAGGAAAAAACCCAGCTCATCGGGGGGCCTCCCTGACGGCCAAGTTGGTCCTACACGGGGACCCTGCATGGAAACAGTCGGTGGCCCCTGCCCATCAGTGGGCGACCAGCCTCTGGAGGTCGATAACCACCCCATCTACTTCTCCATTCTCGTTTCGGCAGCACATACAGATATGGAGGGATGTTGTGCAGTCTCAGGAGCTCGATCTGGAATCCACGGGATGGCGGAAATCGAAAGGCCCCATTCACAGGATGCTCTTATGTTTGCACAGGATCGGCTGGAAGGCGGTGGACTTCTCAGTTTGGCACGATGAGCGAGGATACGTCATTGACCTCCTGTACACCTCGCCCGCTCTCCTCAATAAGTTGCTAGAGGAGGGCGTCCAGCGGATGCACGAGCGTAGGATGGCCCAGGCCACTCCGATGTTCACTTCTTCCCGCGTCTCACCCGATCCCCTGAGACGAATGCTACGCTCTAAGAAGCTCGACGGTCGGCAGAAATACTGGCTTTCTGCGTGTTTCTCTGGGGCCTGCTGGACTGCGGATCGGCTCAAATCCTCGGGGTACGTTTCGGACGGTTTGTGTCCCCTCTGTGGGGAGCCTGATTCCATAGTCCACAGGCAGTTTCTGTGTCCGGACCCGACCGTCGAAGCTGCACGCCGTGAGCATCTCTCAGACGAAGAGATGCTATCGGCGTGTAACTGCCCGCCTGAAAAATTGCTGTTTTGGTCTCGGCTAATGGTGGCTCAGCCTGAGGCCCCCCCCCCTTGCCTCGACCTCGACCCCCTTCTCCAAGGGCCGTCAGGTGAGCCACTATCGGTCGAAGAGTTTTGTGAACGAACCGTCAACACCCGCATTGTTGTCGATGGTTCGGCTACTCAGTTTGCTTTTCGTGAGCTGAATCGTGCCACGTATGCGGCTGTTTTCTTCGATCCGTCGAGCGAGACCCCGTATGAGGTTCGCGCTCGACTTCTGGGAACGGTGTGGCCTGGCCTTCCTCAGACGGCCCAGTCGGGAGAACACCTCGGGGCTGCCACTCTCTCTTGTGTGGCCACAGGCCTTAGTGAGGCCCACTCGGACTGTCTTGGAGTTGTCAACCTAGCCAATGCGCGCCAGTCCGTACAGTTGGACCCTGGACAGGCATTCGCTGGCCTCAGACGGCGCGCTCTCCAGGAGCCAGGCCAGCGAAGCATCGCATCTTTTGCTCACACGCCTGCGCACAGGTCGGACGAAGTGATAGCCGCGCTTCCCGCCCAGGAACGAAAGATCGCTCTTGGGAACCAGGACGCGGACCGACTGGCGAAGCATGCTTTGTCTCTTCACCCCTCGTTGCCCGTTGAGGAGCTCGAGCAATTAGACAAGGACGTGGCTCTACTGCGAAAGCTAGTTGCCATGTTCGGTGCTGTTTTGTCTCTTTTTCCCAAGTTACAGTTTGTTCGGGACCCCACGGTTCCGCGGGTGAAAGCTCGGGCCCACCGTGCCATTGAGTGGCATGACTGGCGTGTGCTGGACCCAGGGGACGATGAAACTCCCTCGCTCGCTAGGTGTTCGAGATGTTTTAAGACGGCGATTGGAGACAGCAGACCCATGGACGGCTGCAAGGGCCTGCCCACTGCGCTCCGCAGATTGCAAGGTGCCGAGAGCGAGCGTGGCCACCTCCTGTGCACGACTTTCTTGCAGGATGACGAGTGTGCGCCTACTGTTTTCTGTTTCCGCTGTGGTGCCTTCACCAGCAAGCGGTGTTACCTACTCGGCGGGATGTGCGGACCTCCTGGCCCCAGCGGGCGAGGTGCACTGTCCCGCATCCGTCGAGGTCTCCCGCCCCATTACAGGAATAGGGGCACGGTCGCTGCAAGCGAGGGCACCACATGTCGTGCCTCGGCCAGGTATGTCCTGCTCAAAGCAGCTGAGCCTGGACCGTCCTCCTCCTCCTCCTCCCGCTCGGGCCTGATTTCGACACCTGGAATGTCGGCCCTGGCGGAGAGGATTCGGCTGAGAGAGGAGGCCTCTCGTGCAGCAGTCTCGGCCTGAGGCCGTGGTTTTGATGTTCTGCCCTGGGGCCCTCGAGGAAAATCCTCCTCCTCCTCCTCCTTCTCCCCCGGGGACCGGCCTGTCGTCTCGGGCCGCTCTGTGGCGGTGCCGGGGCGCGGCGAGGGCACGCCGCGGTTGTTTTATGTTCGAATGCGGTTGTGCACTTTTGTTGCTTATTGATTTGTCGTCCAAAATCCGCCTGTAGGGGGACATGCCCGACCTAACCCTAACGAGGGTGGCCATCGAGGGAGGCGGGGATTCCGAGGAGGCGGCGGGGCTGTTCTGCTCAGATACAGGCGCCGCGTTAGTGTTCGCAACGGGCGTCTTCGCCGGGTCGCGGGCCCCAGGACCATCCCAGGCCGAGCCCGCTCGGAGAGTGCCGCAGGAAGATGGGGCCCAGGACTTTGGTCGTGAATCCTGGCGATGTTCAATCTGTTCGCAGCCTCGGATCTCGGGGTCGGGAGGCCTGAGGGCTTCCGAGAAGCCCGGTTCGAAGCCTCCGCGGGGCCTTTGAGAGGGCGCCCGGCTTCAAGAAGAGCTCCGCCGCCTTCTCTCTAGCGACTATAGAAGTAAGAGTGACCTTTCGCCGCAGTGACCGTTGGTGCGGGCCAAATGGGGCCCCCCGATCGCGGAACGCGAAGCGGCAGCAGCGCCTTGCGCGCCTGGGTTGGGCCACCCCGCGTCCCATGCGAAGCCGCGCACCCAAAGGGCCACTCTTGCCTGCAGCCGATCTTGCAAGCCCGCCCTCGAGTCCCGAGAAACCAGGGCCGGAGGCAGTCAGGGCTAGCTGCATATTCGCGCCTCGCGGTTCCAAACCGGAGTTACCCCGGACCGCAGTTACCCCGGATAAGCCGGGCGTCCAACATTCCCGAAATCATCGGGGCTGGGGGCAGTCAGGTGTAAGTACGGGTTCGTGCCTCGGGGGCCCAAACCGGAGTTACCCCAGACCGCAGTTCTCCCGGCGTCCAACGCCCATCCGCTAGAGGGAAACAGTTACTGAATACTCCCCCCCCCCCAAACTCAAAGTTGGCACGCGCGGGGGAGACTGCGGTCGAGGTGCAACTCATCAGACCCACCGCCAATTTTGAATATTGGGGGGAGGGAGTAGGCGTTGACAGATAAATGTGGCATGATTGTTCGCTATTCCTCAACCAGTGCTTGCACTGAAGGGGTCCTGGCGGAAGTTGAAAGATTTGTTGGCGAAAGTTTCCCGCCGATTTTGGTAGCAGGCCGGGTTCCGGGGCTCCGGGGTTCGGGGTCCAGGGGTCCCGGCTCCTGGTCCCGGGCCGATCTCGGTCTGTTCTGGGTTCCCGGGCTCCCGGGTTCCTCGGTCGATCTCCAGCGAGAGCCATCCATTGATTGGGGTTTTTCTTTGGTGTAATTTTTCTGGGGCCTGTCTCGCTAGGGGGCCAAATGCGAACCCTACCCCTAACCCCCACGATTTCTGAGGGAGAGGGTGGGGTTCATTTCGTTCGGGACCTCCCGAACGAAGTGAACCCCACCCTCCTCCTCAGAAATCGTGGGGGGTAGGGGTAGGGTTCGCATTTGGCCCCCTACTCGCGCCACCTCCCGTGTGGGCGCCTCCCAGGAGCACCGCTGGCGCGGTCAAGGCGCAGACGGTGCGGGAGTACCGCCAGCTGTACGGCGGGTGCGCCATGCGGAGGAGGGCCGTGGCAGCAGCGGCGGCCTTCCCCTGGTGTGTGTGTGTGCGTGTGTGAGGAGGAGGAGGAGGAGGAGGAGGAGGAGGAGGAGGAGGAGGAGGAGGAGGAGGAGATATTATGTAGCCATTTTGGCTCTAGCCGTTCCGTAGGCCCCCGCTCCTGGACCTTGTCCCCAGGCGTACCCTGCGACCCCAACCCATCGGGGCAACGCGGCGGGCGTTGGGGACTTGGGGGAGCGGGGCTTTGGGCTCTCGGAGCAATGGCACGGGACGCCGCTGCCCCACGCGGGGATTGTGCGGCGACTGCTCGTCGTGGCGCGGCTGGCGCAAAGGCCTCAGCTGATAGGCTGGTTCGCAGGCTTCAGGGCGAGGTCGCCCTTCGGGAAGCAGAGATCCAGCAGCTGCACCAGGTGCTCGAGACGCTCACTGGTGACGCTGAGATCGCCAACCGTGTATGTGGGTTGCTCCCCGCTCTCTCTGCGCTGGTGGCAGGGAGGCAGCCCAACTGGCTCGATCGGCTCCGCAGGAACGTCGCTCCGCACGCGAAGTTCGTCACGGACCAGTTGTCTATGGCCCCAGCGCGCCTGCTGCGCCCAGCCCAGGCGGGGTCCAGGCTGGGTGATCGTGGTGAATCGAGCCCTCCAGCGACACGACCTTCGGACAGGACACTCAGGGCGAGTGCCCCAGCTTTCCCTGAAGGCTGGGTGGCGCCTGGCCGCTGGTTCGGGGTGTGGGAACCCCTTTTCAGACCGGGAGCCGATCGCAGACATGCTCTTCGACAGCAGCGATGGGACTGGAGGGCTTCCGCAAGGGAGGCCTGTCTTGGCGACTGGTCCGTCGCTCAAAGACTGTCGAGGAGGCGGTCCCTGCAAAGGCTTGGACTACGTTGGCGACGAGAAGAGCCGCATGCAGGCGGCTGACCACCGAGAGACTGCTTGCATGCATACGCTCGGGGCTGAGACGCAGGAGAACACCTCTCCCGAGCTGGCCGCTGACTCCAGCTGCACGAGTGCCAGGTGGTGGAGTTCCAGGGCGTCAATCGCCAGGATATGGTTGCACCCCATCCCAAGGTTAGGGGCTGGCCACCCTGACGATCTCCCTGATACTGTTGCAGCTGAGTTTGGTGCCGACACGAGCCCTCGTTTCTCAAGGACGCTGGCGGGTCTGCCAGACAACAGGAATCGTCGTCTGTTTCTGGCTGCTCACGGCCGTCTTCGCGTGCGAGACCGAGGAGTTCGGCCTGTTGTTCCACTCGCAGGCATTGAACCCCCGCAGGATGCGGAATGCCAGCAGCAGTGATGCTTTTTCTCTTCGAAGGCATGTTGTTGCATTGGATCCGTTTACATTTCAGCTTCGGAATTTGTGGCAGCATAGTTTGGTACATTGCTGAATGTGGCTTCCTGGTATACTCCTACTGAACGTGGCTTCCTGGCATTATGATTATCCATCGCGTGCTGTGCAACACTTCGTCGCTAATTGTCTTCCGTACCCTTCGCTGCGATATCCCTCCAAGAGAGCCGACATCCATTCCGTCTATTTCTGATTGAGCACAGGCGTTGGGCCCCTCTGGCTTGTGTAGCCGTTGAGGGTCTCTGGCCTCCCCCTCCTCCCCTCCCCCAGAAGCAGAATGCACGTGCAGGCTGCTTGCTCTCTCCACAGCCTGCCGAGTTTTCGAAGGGGGTTGAGGGGTGTAGAGCAGAGGAGAAGGGGGAGGAGGACTCGACCGAGGCACCGCCCAGGGAGGTGGGCCTCGCGGGCCCAGCAGTGCGCTGGCGAGGACCAGCCGCGCGCTGGGAACGCGCGCCGATTGCGGCGCGTCCTAGGCCAGAGGCTCAGGGCAGATCGCGTTCAGATTTTTGTCCCTCATTGTTCCGTGAATGGTCTTGGGACAAGCTAGTGAACCAGCGAACCAGAGGAGGAGGAGATGGAGGAGATGGAGGAGATGGAGGAGATGGAGGAGATGGAGGAGATGGAGGAGATGGAGGAGGAGGAGGAGGAGGAGGAGGAGGAGGAGGAGGAGGGGGAGAGGAGGAGGAGGGAGGAGGAGGAGGAGGAGGGAGGAGGAGGAGGAGGAGGAGGAGGAGGAGAGGAGGAGGGAGGAGGAGGAGGGAGGAGGAGGAGGAGGAGGAGGAGGGGGGAGGAGGGGGGGGGAGGGGGAGGATGGGGTTATGATGATGATGCTGGGAGGAGGAGGAGGAGGAGGAGGAGGAGGAGGAGGAGGAGGAGGAGGAGGAGGAGGAGGAGGGGGACGAGGAGGAGGGCCGCCGCTGTCCTCCTCCCAGCCCCCGTGTTTCTCTTCGGGGACAACGGTCAGGGGGACCTCCTGTGCAGCGAGCTGCTCTCCCCCTCTCCGGGACAGCGGGGCGCAGAGGTGCCATGGGCCACACGCAACGGGGGCGCCCACCAGAGGGGTGGGGGGCTAACTGAAGAGCGTTCGAGGGTACCTTCCCAAGCCATGATCGCGTCGTTGGCCCATTTCGGCCTCGGGGGGCCTTCGCCGGCCTCGGGACCGTCAAAGCACCAACTCAGGACAAAAAACCGGTCCCGGGGAATGGGTCGGGGCTTCCAGGGACCCCGCATTGGAAACATCATGACGTCGCATGTCTGGGTTCCCCCAGGATGCACAAGAACATCCAGCGACCACGAAGAACATTGTAGGTTACCCTCCCAGAGCCGACCTCGATCTTATCATGCTTCGGTCCGACCCTAGAGTTAAGTTGTGCCTGTCCCTCTACAGGAGGAACATTCAAGAATTGTAAAACATAATATGAAGACGATTGTTTGACTATTTTTGCCCATGTGGTGTTTTCTTTCTATTTTTTGTTGGTTTCGCCCGAAATCCCCCTGCAGGGAAACACGCCCGATGTAACCCTAGAGAAGGTTCTGCGACAAGCGTTGCCGACCCCAGCGAGGCTGCAGAAAAGTGGCCCTGCAGGGCCCCTGAAGGGCCCTTTCGGGCCCCAGAGGGGGCCTGCAAGGCCTGAGAGGGGCACCTCTCTTCCCCCCCCGTTGGTCGCCCCCCCATGAATTCGGGCCCAAGAGGTGCCGGTTCTGGGCGGCCTGGTCGAGGCTTGCTTCATCCACGAGGTCGTGCCGCGGAAGGAGCAGCTGACGACGCTGGACCCCGGCGCGGACAGGGAAAGCGAGTGGCAGTCGAGGCACATCTATTTCCACCGGACCTACGTCAGAGCTGCTCTAAATGCCTACCGTCCATCTGCTTGCGGCAAACCCCGCCACCATGCCAGCGCAGCAGCGCAGTGCAAGGGAGGTTGAGTTGAAGGCCCGCGGCAGTTCAGCGCGAGGCTACGAATCGGATGGGTCCTAAGCTCGACCTCGTTCGCTCAGTCTTGGGGCCTTCTTGGAACCTTCATAGGCCGTCTTCAAAAACTTTCGGGGTAATATTGTTGCAAATTGTGTGCTCTCTTGGGGGCTTCTTGGGGCTCTCTGAGGCTTCTCCGAGGCGATCTGAAGCCGAAGGGCTTCGGGAGCAACAGGCACGGGTTCGCCTCCGATGTTTCAGCGGGTTTTACCTCCTCGAGTCTCGCTGGAGGTCTCTTGGAGGCTTCTGGGGGCCTCTCGGGGCATCGTGGGGGGATCTTGTGGTGTTTGGGGGTTCGTTGGGCCGTCTTCGAACGGTCCCAGGTTGAGTCGAAGGCCCACGTCAGTTCAGCGCGCGGTCTAAACTGGCGCGGGTCTCAAGCTTGGCCTCGTTCCTTCGATTTTGGGGACCTCGTGGGCCGTCTTGGAGGGTCCTCGAGCAGTCTTAGGGGGCGATCTGGGGGCTCTCCGGGGGCCAGTTTTGGGCCGTCTTGGGGGGCTTCCTTCAGGCGATCGCAAACATGGATCAAGGGGGCGTGGCGGGTCCCGGTTCCATGGGAAATCGCGGATATCCGCCGCCGAGCGAGGCGGCACGGGCCGCATTTTGGGGAGGGCATTTCCCTGGGTCCATGGATTTGGCGACCGCGTGCCAAATCCATGGATCGCTAATCCATGTTTGTGCGCCCGATTCCCTGGGCTCCCTGGAGCGTTCCCCAGGCGGTCGAAAGGCCTTGGAAGCAAAACACAGCGATCGCCCTAGGTTTTCACAGATGTTTCGCATCCTGTAGCCTCGATGGAGGCCTCTGTGGGGGGTCTGGTGGAGGAATCCGTGGGCCCTCGTGTAGCATCCTGGGAACGCCCTGGAGTTCGTTTGGGCCGTCTGTGGTTGTCCTGGAGCTTCTTCCTGCAGCCAGTCTGGACGATGTCTTGCCGTCTTGGGGCCGTCTGGAGGCCGACGAGAAAGACGCTGGGGGGCAAAACCAGGGAGGGCGAGTGTCTGAAGCACCTAACACTGCTCCTGCTGCTCCTCCTCCTCCTCCTATTGCTCCTCCTCCTCCTCCTCCTCCTCCTCCTCCTCCTCCTCCTCCTGTGAAGCGCGCTGCGAGCGGGGGCGGGGCTCGGTCCCAGAAGCACGCACTGACGCGCCCCAGCGGCGTGCCGCTGGCACGGACCGGCGGAGCACAGTCGCAGTGCGAGCGCCACAGACTGCGAGCGGCTGCTGTCGCTGGAGGCGGTGTCGCGCGTGACCACGTCGGCGGTCGAGGATCTGGTGCGCCTGTGCACTGGTGGGTTCGATTCGGAGCACGACTGGAGGGGGGCGATATCTGATATGCTGGAGGACGCATCCGAGGCGATGGACTTGCTTCGCGAGGGTGGGATGGGGTGTCAGCACGGAGCGGAGCTGCTGCGCATCCTCGCGCTGTGGAACGACCTACCTGCAGGTCTTGCGCCTGCGCAGCACAAGCAGCGACGGCTCGAGACGGTGTCCAGTGCCGCGATACGTTTCGAGTACTCATCGCATGCCCCGTCGAAGTATCGTGTGTGAACAAAAGGGTGGGACAACCGCAGGTTCTGCACCCCCTCGACGGCCCAAGAAGCTACCAAGAAGGCCCAAGAGGGGGAACACGGACTGACATTTCGAGCCATCTGCCCTGAGAGGACAGATGACCCCCGAGACCGCCAGCGGGCCTTCAAGAGGATCCCAGGAGGTCGTGAGGTCCCGCAGAGGTCCACGCGAGGCCCAAGAGAGACACCAAAGAGGCTTCGGAGACTCCCACGAGACTTTACAATTGTCCCTCAACCCATGGTATTACAGAGGCATTCATTCTGGCAGCAGGCCCACCTCTATGACACCTCTATGTAATTCTCACGCTGAGGCCAGGTATGGGCCGTGCCTCCTCGATGGCACTGTGGGGGCACTCTAGGGAGGAGCGAGGAGGAGGAGGAGGACTGGGTTTCAAGGCGAGAGGAGAGATGAGAGAAGTTGAGACGGATGAACGTCAGCCATGCATTTCGGATAAAACTTTCGGCGAATGTCAGTGAGAAAGTATACACTCTTGTATGTTGAGAAAGTGCAAAAGCAAAGCTCTGCGCAGTGGCCAGCCAGGGCAGCGTCATACCGGCGAGGCTTATTCAAGCAGCTGGGTTTGTTGCCCAGCGTTTCTTCTTGCATTAGCGGAGATTGCGCCGTGCCCGCGCACGCTTACCCCTCAGTTAGCAGCTTCAGCTTGCCTTCTAGGATCATGGGCCATGGGTCATGCCACCCGCGCTTCTGAAAAATTGTTCTGCGACGTACCCCACCCATCGGCACCAACGCATAATATAAGGTGTGCCGAGAATGTTACAGCAACACGGCAAGAGACGGTGCACGGCGGATATCTATGTCGTGCGAAGTGTGCGTGGCCGATTCGCATAACAGAGGTACAGAAGGCCAGGAGGCATTGTATGTGGCAGGAGAAGCAAAAGGAAGACTTCGAGGTGGAAGACCAATCACCTTGGCAGACACAGCAAGATGATGGCGAGGTCTTTCAGGGATCTGCGTGGGACCCCACTGTGCTGGCCCCAGGCAGCCCTGGAGAGTGGGAGAGTCTCATACCTGCGCAGCCTTCCCCCCCATGGATGGCGAGGTCCCCGTTGCATCTGCGAGGGGCCCCACTGTCCTGCCCCGCTCCGCCGCCCCCGAAAGTGGCGACGGTGTTACACCTTCGCAGCCCCCAAGGGATGGCGAGGTGCCGCCTGGGTCTGCGTGGGACCCCATTGTGGCGCCCCCCCCCCCCCCCCAGCAGCCCTCGAACGCGGCGACAGTTTTACACGTCGCAGCCCCCAAGGGATGGCGAGGTGCCGCTTGGGTCTGCGCGGGACCTCGCCGTGCTGGCCCCCCCAGCAGCCGTCGGATGTGGCGACAGTTTCACACCTTCGCAGTTCCGCAGGGATGGCGAGGTCCCGTTTGGGCGTGCGTGGGACCTCGCTGTGCTGGGCCACCCCAGCAGCTTCCGAACATGACAAGGGTTTCATCTGTCGCGGCCCCCCAGGGATGGCGAGGTCCCTTTTGCGTCTGCGTGAGACCCCACTATGGTGGCCCCCCCAGCAGGCAGGCGAGAGGGGGACATAGGGCGGGAGGAGAAGGAGAAAGGAGTCTGCACCCCAGCGCTTCATTCAAAACGAGAACCCAACCAAAGGAGGGTTGGGAAAAAATGAGGGCTCGCAATCAAGACGGTCCCAGAGGCTCACGAGTCGGCCCACGAGGACTCCGCCCGATACGGCCCATAACGGCGCCAAGATCAGCTCAGAAAGGCCCCCAATACGGCCCACAAGCCCTTCAAGAGGACGTCCAAGAAGGCCCGACGATTCAATAATCATTATTTGAAATTGGTTCCACCGGACTTGTCGGCTTTGGCCTTCTCGCCTCCTTGGGCTCCAGACGCCTCAAAGCGGCGCCATCGTCCTCGCCGTGAAAGCGGAAGAGGCTCCCGAGAGCGCCTTTGGGTGGCCCAAGAGAGCCCAGTCCGGCCCAAGAGGGCCTCAGGAGGGCCCCCGGGGCCCCCAGAGGATGCCGAAGAGCGCCCGAAGACACCCCCACCGGCTCTGCAGGACGCCCACGACGCTGCCGGCGACGACCTCGCTGCCAGTCTGGCGAAACACATCGCCCGCCGCTGGTGCTCCGCCCGGGGCCCAGGTCCACCCACACGCGCCGCGACGCAGCCGCGCGCCTCCGGGGGGCCCGCCGCGTGGATCGGGCGGGCCACCGCGTGCGGACGGGCCCCGGAGGCCAGCGGCAGTAATTCAGGAGGGGGAAGACCACACGGACACACGGGAAAAGATGGGAAATTTGGGGGGGGGAAGACAGAAAGCCAGAAAGCAGGGGAGAATAGGGGGAATCTGGTTATATTTGTGTCTCTTTCTTTGTGTGCCCCAGCTCCCCTTTCGGTAATACGCGCGGGGGCCCGCGTCGGCCCAGCGCCCAGGGACGCGCCCGCGGCTGCACGAGCGCAGGGGCCGCGCCCACGGACGGCGAGCCCGCGAGCTCGGCCGCGCGAGTCGATCGGCGCGAGGGCCCGGCCGCCACGCGCCCCGCCGAGCTCGGCCCGGGGGCTCGACGACGGGCGCCACGCTCGGCAGGCCGAGGGCCGCCGGGGCGCCCCGCTCGGCGGCGGTGGTGCGCCAGGCGAGGGCCGAGAGAGGGAGCCCAGCGGAGGAGGAGGAGGAGGAGGAGGAGGAGGCGGAGGCGGAGGAGGAGGAGGAGGAGGAGGAGGAGGAGGAGGAGGAGGAGGAGGAGGAGGAGGAGGAGGAGGGGGAGGAGGGTGGGGGGGCGGCCGAGCCCTCTGGCGGCATGCCCGCGACGAGCAGGGCCTGCCGGGCGGTGGGTCGGCTCGCCGCTCGCCGCAGGCGGGCCGTCGAGCCCGCTCCCGCGGCCGACGTGCACGGCCGCAGGATGCGGGCCCGGATGGCCGCGAGAGGGAAGCACGCCGAGGCTTCCTTGGCGAAGCCGCTTCGTGGCTGCCTTCGGGCTTCATTGGCGAAGCCGCTTCGAAAAGACAAATCAGGCCGGAGTCTTGCCGTCTGGGGGGCACGGCGGAGGCGCCTTGCTTGTACGGATGGATTCGATCGAGCTGAACATTACAGACAAGAGGTGAGGTTTAGTGCTGAGGCCACAGTTTCGCACCACGTTGCACTTTCGTTCGCGACGTCGGAAAGCTGTGCCCGACCAGCCCGCCCCCCTTCAGGCGGTGGAGGGCGAACCAGAAATCAGGACGGACGCGGACGCGGTGGGCTCCCGAATCCGGGCGGCGCCAGTGCGGCGGCACGACGCGGAGATCAAGGACCTGGGTGTCGGGCGACGAAAGGACGAGAGATGCAAATGTGCACCAGTCTTGGCCAGGCCCATTGCGGGTCCCAGGTCCTGCCTCCCTGGCCCAGCCGAAGAGGGGCGATGCACCAATCCCTGGGACCAGGATGGGCCTGGCATGGACCAGTGTATGCGCGCAGCTCTTCCCCCTCTTCCAACCAGGAGTTCGTGGAGGAGGGGAAGGGGAAGGAGAGGAGTAGTAGTAGTAGTCGTAGTAGTAGTAGTAGTACTAGTAGTAGTAGTAGTAGTAGTAGTCGTCGTCGTCGTCGTCGTCGTCGTCGTCGTCGTCGTCGTCGTCGTCGTCGTCGTCGTCGTCGTCGTCGTCGTCGTCGTCGTCGTCGTCGTCGTCGTCGTCGTCGTAGTAGTAGTAGTAGTAGTAGTAGTAGTAGTAGTAGTAACGGCGTTGTAGGTAACGGCGATGCAGGTTTCGATATTGTGGAAACGCGTGGCTTGTGCTGTCCTACTTTTCGCTGTGTCGTTCTCGCTCGATACATCTGCATATTGGAAGTGTAAGAAAGTGCGGATCATGATGTCCTACAAGTTGGTTCCCAACATCACCGTTGAGCAACACCGCCGTTAGCGTGGCCTTGGTCTTACCCGATCACCACGCATCCATCTTGGCAGTTCGCGTGCTGCGCCCAGGAAGCGCGCACGCCCTCCTGGCTTGGCCTAGGGAGGCACACAGACGCCGATCCCGGGCCCAGAATCGCCCCGGGAGGCACACAGTCCTCGAGACCCAGACATGATCGCGTCGTACAAAAATCCAGACGAGAGGTGTTTGGCCAATTTCGGCCTCGGGGGGCCCTCGCCGTGCCTCGGGCCCGTCAAACAACGACTCAGGGTGAACAACGGGTCCCGGGGAACAAGTCGGGACTTCCAGTGACCCCGTCCTGAACAAATCAGGACGTCGCATGTCTGGGGATCGACCTCGCGGTAGATGCAGCATCGCGGCGGACGAGGTGTTCCACAAAGGGCCTCGCCTTGGTCGAGGATCGAAGGCATTGTCATCTCTTCCGCGGTGGAAGGGCGGCGAAAGTGAAGCGATGCCGCCTCCGCCAGCGGAAGGCCAGCGGAAGGCCATCGAAAGGAGGCGGACGTACAAGATGCGCCCCCGAGGAAGGAAGCCGCTCTTGGGGTTCAGGGCTTCGGAATCCTCCAACAGGGCTGGAACTAAACGCTCTTTTACTGGACGTCGGCGAGGTACAGGAAAACGGGGAGAGCAAAACGAAACCCAAACGAAAAGCAACGTTTAGGTCCAGACCTATCCTCCAAATCACCGCCGGAGCGTTGGACCCCATGTTTCTGCAGCATTTCTCGCGCTGGGTCCACTTGTATGAGGGGCATGACACAGGGGACCCGACTGGAGCGCCTCTGGATCTCAGGGCCCCTGGGCTCGTCGGCACTCCGAAAGCCCAGGCATGCGACGCCCTGATTTTTTCAAAGCGGGGCCCCTGGGAGTCCCGACCCCAGACAGGATCGCGTCGTACAACAATCAGGACGACAGGTTTTTGGCCAATTTCGGCGTCGTGGGGCCCTCGCCGGGCTTCGGGACCGTCAAAAACAACTCGGGAGGAAAAACCAGTCCCGGGGAAAGGGTCGGGACTTCCAGGGACCCCGCACAGAAAAAATCAGGACGTCGCATGTCTGGGGATCGACCTCGCGGAAGATGCAGCATCGCGACGAACGAGGGGTTCCACTTGGAGTCGTCTGTG